AAACACCAAAGACAGATCCAGACATATTCGTGTCCAACCCTCCCTCCCATTTCATTCATTCATTGTCTCTCATTAGTACAGAGGATCTGTCCACCCCGGGAACTCCTGCCAGTTGCCTCTGTGTCCGCAGCCTCAATTAACACTTATCTACTAGAAATGCTGTCAGACCTGAATGAGGATGTTGTCCCAGCTAGTGAAATGTTAATATGTAGTGTGTACAAAAATGTTTTCTACACAAACAGCAGAAGAAATATGCCGACAATGGCCGTTAGGGGGTACAGTCTAAATGTAATGTGTTTGATCTAAAATGTGTTTGTCCTACAGCAGCTACCATAGCTAGGCTTATGCACTTAGATTGGAAGGTGTAAGAATACTGCAATCTGCACTCTACTGACATCTAGCAGTTATATGTTACACACAAGTTGTCTAAAAAAGAATATTCTGTAATGGCCACAAGTTTATTGTTAACACAAAGGATAACAACAGTTCATCTAAGGGTTTCTGATAACGAAGTGCAGGTTCCAGACAGAGAGGCAATTCTACGTCAGAATCTCTGTCAGAACAAGAAGCCTCCAGATGATCTGCACAGAAGGAGCATCAAGGTAAGTAATTTATGATGGATGAGCAGACCAAAACAACAAAAAGCAAGGGAGCCAGCTTTAGTAACTGTTGTTAGTTCAACAATCCAGCAAAGACTGAACTTAAACAAGACAAACTACCACCTTAAGTGGTGGCCAGAGAGGAGGTGACTGGGAACAGGTGAGCTCATTGCCTCTGGGTGTGTGAAGCCAGGACATATTCATTTAAACTGTCTGTAAAAAGTCACAGATGATATGCTGAAATCAGTATGACACACCATCAGCTTGGTAGCATACTGACAGTAACCTTTATCAACATGTTATTATGGTAACTACTTAATTATCAACTAGCATAAGGTTGAGGCTGAGGTTGAGGCTAAAAAAAAGGAGCTTAAAAGAAGCTAAAAAAGAGCCCATTTTTTAAGTGAAACTGATGGAACAACAGGTGCAGGAAAGGCTTCAGGCAAAAATCTTCTGGAAGTGTCCCGGAACGTCTGCAAAAAAGCAATCAATGCAATGGTTGTTGATATATTTCAGCTGAAACTGTTAAACTGATCAGCCCACAGACTGCTGTTAGCATGGTTAACAATCAATATCCCAGACGTGTCCATTCCACACAAAAGTGTTTATTTTTCAATTGCTTGCAATTATTTTAATCATGCAGAAGAGATTCCATCAATAGCTCCAAACCACAGAAATGTGGGAGTCTCATTTGCCATTAAAATGAAGTTACCTCAGGGCATAACCACTCTTGAGGCAGCTGACTGTTCTGAGAAAAACTGTTTCCTAAGTAAACTTGAGCTTAACCTTTAGAACAAAGGGCGCAAAGCAGTGATGCCCAATAATGCTTCACAGTATGCTATTGGTAATCAATGTGCCTATTGCTCTGCTTCTTCTCTCTCTCGCTTCACATTTCACCCTGTTTCAGACTGACAGTGACTGCCGTGGGCTCATGAAACTAAGTACAAGCTCCCGTGGTTGGTTCTATGTCTCAAACACACTCACACGATATAACATAAGGCACCATGTCAGGTATTGAATAGTCAATGCTGCAGAGCGGAGCAGAACCCTTGGTTGTTCATGTGTGATAGTGCTGCTGCAGAGGACCCAGCTGGCTCCCACAGAGCTACATCACTGTGAGTGTGTGTGTGTGCATGAGAGTGAGAGAGAGAGAGCAAGAGAGAAAATATGTATGTCAGAGACATGATTGCATGTGTGTGTGTGTGTGTGTGTGTGTGTGTGTGTGTGTGTGTGTGTG